GGAACAGGGACAGGGCTCAGAGAACAGAACAGGGATAAGGGACAGGGCTCAGAGAACAGGGACAAGGGACAGGGCTCAGGGGACAGAGACTGGGCTCAGAGAACAGGGCTCAGGGAACAGCCCTGCAGGGGCTCACCCCCTGCCATCCTCTCTGTGCCCAACTTCAGAACCCAAACAGGGCAGAAATTTGGGCACACAGAGTAAAAGGCCAGTCAGGCCATGAACAGCACCCCAGTGTTCTGGTGTGAGCTGCAAGCAGTATTAGCAGAAGGCAGTGGAAGAAAAGGAGTCAGAAAGCCATAATGTGTGACAGAAACCATAGCCATGACTGTCTTTTATTCAGGTGTTATATCTGCCTGTAAACAATGGATTGCAGGCTTCTTTGTACAGAAAATTACCTTTTCTGCCTGAATAACTTGGGAAAAGATAACGCTCTCTCTGCTGCCCTTGATCTGTCCTTGTATCTTGTAGTTCTCACTTGCTGGAGGAGCTGGACCAGACTTGGAGCATTTTCTCAAAAAGCTATCAGGAGGCTGAAGCTGGGCTTATTCAGGGAAAGGGAGCACTGTAATTTACATTCTTTGATGAAGGTATTGCACAAAATAATATTCACCCTGATTCTTCATGTAAAACTGTCAAAGCTGCTTGATTTTGGTGTTTTGAATCTCTGAAATGGTTTTATTCTTCTAATCCAGAAATGGTAGCACTGCAATTTAAAGGAGGACTGCAACTTTCCCGTATAAAAAAAGACAAACCTTTGTTTCAAAGAAGGCTTGTATCTCTAATGTGTATCAAGAGATAAATGCAGATCACTTTTATAAATGTCAAAATACATTCATTCAAGTCATTGTCAAATTCTAGTTTCACTCGTAAAAGAATTTCTGAAGGAATTATTTGGATTATTTCTTCATCACAGCAAAATGATATTTTTTTAAAGAGGTTTTGTCAAATAGCAGTCTTTTTAAATTTTTTAAATAAAGGTTTCTTTGCAGATGCTGAGTGCAGCAAATTCCAATGGGATGAGGGATTGGTTCCTGAGTCAGGAGCTGGTTTAGCTCTGTGCTGTGGAGGGGAAGAAGCCTCTGGAGCAAACTGTCCCTGTCCAGGCTGCACTGAATTCCACCCTGGCTCTCCCCTGCTGGTTCCAAGGTAATAATAATTATTATTTCAGGAGTTTCAGCTCAGTGTCTGTCACACTGCAAGGTACATGTTGGAGCTTTCACTGTTCTTACAGCAGAGTGCCAAGAGCCCTCTCTGCCTGCACAACTGGAGAACTGTGCAGGGCAGGAGGAGTTCAACCTCCCTCATTCCTGCCCATACCATCCTCTGGGAGTGATCTGTAGGTTTTATTTCACTTACTTTTATTTTACCCTGATTTGCCCAGTGGCTGTGGAAAGGTTACAGAATCAGCTGGGGTTGGAAGGGACCTCTGGAGATCATCCAGTTCAAACCCTCTTTGAGGGCAGAGTCACCTGGAGCAGGTGGCACAGGAATGTGTCCAGGAGGGATTGGGTTGTCCCCACAGAGGGACACTCCAGGACCTCCCTGGGCAGCTGTTACAGGGCTCTGCCACCCTCAACATAAAGAAGTTTTTCCTCATGAGGAAAACTTGGAAAAGTTGAGGTGGAACTTTTTGGTTTTAGTTTATGGACATTGCTCCTTGTCCAGTCTCTGGGGACCATTGAGCAGAGTCTGGAATCATCCTCTTGGGACCCAAAGGACAGATTGTTAAAATTGGCAGGGACGGGGACACTGAACTGCTGGCTCTGGACAGGACCCAATGGGCCCTGGCTGTGCCAGCCATGGGGTGGCCACAGGCCAGGGC